TGTTCTTCTGAGCAATACTGCATTGGTTGGTAGGGCTGGTTTTTCTTCTAATTCACCAAAAGCAAAACGCTACAAGGCAAGTTTAATTTCCACAGCCTGACTTCTGTATTTCTCCAGCTGATACGATAAGGCACATCGTAGCTCTTTTATCCAGCATTACGCATTCTTGTTCTGTGACTGCTGTTCCTGCAGCTGTAGTAAGACTCCTCAGGTTGTGGGGGTTTCTGTTGCCATCAACCATCATTCCTTTACTGAGCTGTGCCCCACTAGAAAAACGTACGAGTTGCATTTAGTCACCTGGTCCCACTCAGCTGTGCCAGGACAAGTTTGCTGGACTAAGGCTTTGCAAGATGGGCTCCACGTTGTTAGCTGGTGGTGAGGCCCATTTCTGCCTGGGAAAGGGGATGGAAGATCTGGGAACTGATCGACCTGTCTTTGCTAGTGGAAGGCTTTGTTTACAGCCGTTTGTCTCCTGTTGTGAAGGGCAGATGATAAATGGGGTTAGGCTAGCCCAGTGTTTAGATGACATTCATGGGAATTATTCATCTATGATTGTTATGGTGAGGTCATGTGCTGTGTCCCATGCTATGCTGCTGTGCCAGGAGATTTATTTTAATAGAAGCCTTTAAGTAACTGGCATTCTTGCTAATCATGGTGCATCTGCTTCTCTGGGTTCCCTGTTATGAGTAATTTAATGCTATTACTTTAGCTAGAAGGGATCTGTGTCACCATCTGTCCTGGAAAGCTATTGATGGGGCTGTGCAGAACATGGAGTGTCATCAGCAGAAGAGAGGGACTTCTAAAGGGATGACTGGATTTCCTGTTGTAATACAATATAAGACGGTTTACTGTGATTACGGCTCAGGTAACTTGCATATAAGGGCTGTTAGTGACTTTTTGATTTTGTTGGGGACCGTTCCTCAGATATTTGTATAGAGGGAAGATACTGTTGTCAGTTAGTAGCAAGTAGTAATAACACAGGTAGTCTGCTAAATGAAATCTCTGCTCGTCACAGGGGCGTGGGTCTATGAGGCCAAAACCTTCAAGACTGACCTTAAAATGCCTGCACATCTGCCACTCCCAGCAGGCAGATATTCTTTGGAGGGGCCTTGCCAGACACTTTTGAAGCTAAATGCTTTTGTAATCGATGGTTATTTTTTAATTGTTGTTTACAGACCACTTCCTTGTAACAAGCCCTCTCCATGCTGTAGCTGAGTCACAATAGACATGAAGAGGCTATATGGTTGAAAAGCAAATTGCTCTTCACTTCCATAAGTGGTGTACTTTCACAGTACCACTTACGCGCAGAGTATCATCCTGGTCTCTTAAGTGTGTGTGGCTGATGTCCTCATTTTTATGGTCTGAGAAACGTATCTTCTTTTTGTCTTTGTGACTGGTTAGTAATTGTACTGTTCACGATCTAACCTGACTTTTTTGGTCCTTCCTGACCTCACTGCGGCTTGTTGCCTTCTCGGCAAGCTAACTGGTAAGTATGAGAGCATGCAGGGCTGGGAAGCAGCTTTGTGGGGGTTTATTGTGTGGAGTTTTTCTTTGATCGTACTATCCTTCCCAGTGATAAGTTATGTTGTGTTTTAAGTATAAATTGGCCTCACTCAAAAGTCCTGGCTCAAAAGATAGTTTGTGATATAAACTTCGCAGCTCTGATTTTTTTTTTTTTTTTTTTTTTTTGTCATGCAGAGGTGCAGCTCTTATTTCACATTCATCTCAGAAAATGTTCTTGCTGTCCCTTGTCATATCTTCTGTGGATAAGTGACAAGCGGGAGGAATGTGTAGGGCCAAAATTTGCTTAAGGCTTTCAACTGGGTGAAAAAGGCTGTGGGCTGGAGTTGGTCGTCTGGGAAGGCTGATGGAGGAAGCATGTCCTGCTCTCAGAATAGGGTTCGTGGTCTCCTGCAGGTGCATAGAAGTGAATAAAATAAGCAGAAATCAGAAGTGGGTTGCCAACTGACTTCTGCAAAGAGTCTCAGTTAATTTGGGTTTTTCCCTTCTTCCTTCCCTCTGAGTGTTGGGACCATAACACCATGCCACCCGTCACGTCTCCCGCGATCAGACAGCTCCATCTGAGGAGCTGAGTGTTAGCATTACCAGGTCATGTGGAAAGGCTGCTTATGGCAGTATTCATGTAAAGAAAAAATTGGCCGATATTGCAGGTTCACCAGGATTCTAGCTGTAGGATGAGAACCAGGCAGCTCATCTTTATGTGGAGAGATTTTTGTCAAAACTGGCTAAATGGGGGAAAGAAAAGTGGAGAATGTTAGTGTTAGCTGTATGTGTCTGGGCTGTCACAATTGGTGGGCTTCAAACCAGAAGGGTTTGAGCAGAGGTCCTCCTGAGCCTGGATCAGGCCCTGTACTTAGGAAGGAGTTGGAGTTTGTTTTTCTGAACTGCTTCAGATGTAAACCATTTCTTCTTGTGTTGAAATAAAAAAAGATAGATTCCTCAGTTGAAACCTGTGCAGAGACTAAGGATGTTTCATCCCCAAAGACGGGTAGGGCATGGATCAGAACAGTTCTGTTTGGGGGCTGAGGGCACAGGCAAGTGTCTGTATCCTGTTCACCGCAGCTTGAGTCTTCTTCTCATGGAGAAGTTACAGTTCAGGAGACCATCAGAACCTGGCTTTGCTTTGAATGCTTGTCTTTAGTCTTCTCAAATGGATCAAGTTGGGGAGAAACCTGCTTTGATCCATCTTCAATCCATTAGGAAACACAACAGAAGAAACCAGTTTTTTTTGGTTGAAGCAAGGGTGACGTGGTACCGCAGGGTGGGGTGCCAGGGGCTTCGATAAAACAAAACACATATTGCAGGAGAGCTCCCTGGCTGCTGCTGATCTGTTTGACGGGAGCTGAAGTCGGAATCGGCAGTACAGGATCTTGAACCTTCAAACTTGGGGTGATGGAAGCAGCTGGCCCCTTGCATGGCCCTCTGAGGAGCTTCAAGAGGTGGAGAGCTCTAAGAGGAAGGCAAGGCATAAGGCATATCTCAGATGTAGCTCTGAAAGGATGAGTATGAAACTGCATTCTGAGAAAGAAAGCCTAGAGGGCGATTTTATCCATTTTCGTATTAACCATGGCTATTAAAACAAAATAAATCTTCAGCGTTTTGGTTTTCTAATTCAATACAAGCGTTTGTAAATCTGGGGACTCAGTTCTGTGTAGGTCCAGCTTGGCACAGTCCTTGGAGGTGCCGAGTCCACTCAGTGCTGTGGATTTCTTTTGAAATTTAAAAACTCCTACATGTGTTTTGGTCCCAAATGAGGACTTGCAAATTTGACTGGGATTGCTGGTAAGTGTGCAATCTAGAACGGAGTTTTAAATCCACCTGATGTGCGATTCTACGTGTGGTAACTTGGCACAGAGAGAACCCATCGTTCCTCTGCTTATGATTTCCACGTGCTTCTGCCGTATAATAAAACTCTAGATGTCCATAATTTCTATCAACTGTACAGAGCAGATGCTGTGCTATTATTCTGTCTGACACATTCGCTATGCCTGCTGGGTTACTGCCTTTTCCGAGACCTTTGAATTAACCAGATTTTTGGGTCATCAAGATTATTTAATGTTATTGTCATAAATATTTGTACAGGACTTGGTCAGTGTTTATATAAGAACTGAAAGAAAGCAATTTGTTTTAAGAAAATGTGTTTTAATGAACTGCCAGCTGAATGTTAGAAGTAAACTGCAAAAAAGTGCTTTTCTTTTGCAGGACTGTTGCAGTTTGTGGGGTGGGAAAAATGACTATTTAGATTGTCAGTTATTTAGATTGGTCGGTTACAGCTGTTTAAATTTAAAATCGCTTGGGAGTTCTTTAAAAAGAGGGCTGTTTACTTCTAAATAGCTGTATTGGCTTATCATCCTGTTCTCGAAAGAGGAGAAGCTGATCTCTTGCATCTTATTAATCATTTTCTGTTAAAGCATGTTATCCTTTGAATTGTTTGTATGCCAAAAATGAGAAGTTGTTATTGTGTTATACTTCACAGTTGATTCTTATATAAAATTCCATATTTTTTTTCTTAATTTCCAAAGTACTGTGCTCTCAAATACAAACAATAAACTCAAAATACTAGCAATACGAATCTGTTGTTTGGAAATGATGAAGGTTATACATCATTCAATCTGCTGAAATGTGTTAGAAATGAATAAATATTTGGTTTGCCTCTAGCTCTTTTTAGAAGCACTGAAATTAGTATTTTTTTATTGAAGGAATTTTTGCCAGGTTTTTCAATGAGGGACAATACTACAAATAAGCCAAAATGTGGAGGCTGCCAGGGGGTGCTGCGTGCATTCTGGCAAATTTGGGTTGTTTCTTCTAAATATCTTAATTAGCAGAGCATTGTCTCCAAGCTGTTCTTGGAGAGCTGCTGCCATGCCAGACCACAAGCAACAAGCCCCCAAATCCTGTGGTTTTAGGTCATAAAATAGTCTTTATTACCGCGATGTTGCGCCGAGCGTGTGTATGATTCTTCATGGTGATACAACACCACAAGAATGTGCCAAGTTGGACAAACTCCCCTTCGCCGTGTCATCTGCTGAGGCGAAAGGTTTTTTTATGCTGTTGGGTGATTCACAGCTGGAGCCAAGGTTTGGTGCGCTCTCAGGA